GCCTCAGAGCGGATCTGGACGCTGTAAAGAGAAAAATCTTAACACTGCCAGGAACTGAACTCCGGTCATCCAGCCCGTCGCTCTACCGACTCAGTTATTCCGACTCCTGCGTCCAGGCCGATTCTGGGACCAACCCNGGGGGGGGGGGGGTTCTGCTTCCGGGGACGAAGCAGTCGGGACGTGGTGACCAACCCAGCCTCGTATCCTGTGGGCACCGGAGGGTTCTGTTTCCGGGGACGAAGCAGTCGGGACGTGAAGGTGACGAACCCAGCCTCGTATCCTATGGGCACCGGGGGGTTCCGTCTCCGGGGACGAAGCAGTCGGGACGTGGTGGCCAACCCAGCCTCGTATCCTCTGGGCACCGAGGTGTTCTGTCTCCATGGACGAAGCAATCGGGACGTGAAGGTGACTAACGACCACCTAGTGCCGAGGATGTTAATGTGTGGAGCTACACCTCCACTCCCTCATACTCTTCATGTGTTGGTGCAGAGACAATTTGACCTCTTCTATTAGCCAGGCCGGGTCCCAGTCATGTAATGGGTTTACATTGATTTTCGTGTTACAGATAAGAAGAAGAAGACGAGGAGAGGAGGAGGAGGAAGACAAGAAATCGGAGACATCGAAGAATGGGGAGCAGAAAGGAAGTGTATTTAAGGACAGTTTCAATATCGGGAGTATATAGCACCGTATGATAGAATTGCTGATGGGTTTGTAAGGATTTTGACGTAAGTGGTGGTGGCCTGATGGATACATCCTCCAGGGATTTATATTAAGGGACTAAGGGAAACTCTGGGAACTGTCAGTTAGGACAGGAAGGTTCCGCGACAGAGCTTCCCGAATACAAGACCAGAACGATATTACTACAACGCGCTCGGTACCTTCAGCAGTTGGCCACACCGTTTCTATAGCTGAAAGAGGAAAGGTAACAAAGTGTGGTGAGTGCCCAGGAATCTTCCTGGAGGAAAATGGTGGCCGGCGCGTAAGGCTGACAACCTCACCACCATATGTGAACCGACTGTCTAGAAAATGTGGCAGCCTCCACGTCTTCCAACCCTATGGGCCTCCACAGCCTGTTACAGTGGTAGCTTTACCTTTCTACCTTTTCTTTAAATGTGACACAGGAGAGGCCCGACACCAAGACTGACTGACCGACTTGGAGTCGGTCCTAACGTGTCTTCGAATTTGAAGCCAGAGCAGTGTTACAGCCTGCATATGTCTGTGTGGTCATTCCCAGTAGAGCGGGAGTGACCAGTAGTACCTAGACCCGTCTTCTCGTTGAAGAGGGGGACGTATTTCAACACACGTAAAATTCTTGAATATAAAAATAAATGGTCACTGTTTTCAATGGGACTCGAAATCAGGAATTACTGTTCTGGGGAAGGCCGACCGATCAGTCTTTAAAGGGTTAAAGTTGAACTTTCTACATCACCACTCTCACACGTGAGTAGTGAAATTATAACGTCCACCATGACGCAGTTCAGTTCAGACTTGGTCCGGTGACAGAACGAACCGCTACGCCATCATTCATCTGCCCTCTACGCGGGAATACAGTCTCCACGGCTTGATATGTTCCTTAAATATATTTCTGTGTCACTGGGATGAGCCATGCCCGTGTGATGAACTCAGTTTTGCAAGACCAGGTCTAGAAGTCCTTGGAATCTTCATGTTTGAAGCTTGTTCTCTAGACTGCATCTAACGACTGTTCAGTATTTTAAACACGCGTCATTTAGACAGTGAATCAGCTCAGATGCGGTTCTTAACCCATTGCTGTAGAATGTGATCCACTAATTAACTTTCTCCCGCCAAAAGAAATAAATTAAAATTATCACAAATGGTGAGTCCGGATTGTAATTCGTGTCGATCCAGAGAGACAATTGTTTTAAATTTCTTTCGGCAAACTTCTAAAGCCATGAAAAGAAGATAAGGCTATCCTTGTGACAGGCCATGGAGGTCCATAGGGTTGTGAGACGTCGAGGCTCCCACATCTTCTAGACACTCGGCCGATCATCCTTTACCCCCAGGAAGATTCGTGGTAGTCGCTTATGTTAGAGGCTGAGTCGACCTCAGGGCTTGAAAGATTAGGTAAACTGAAAAATCAAATGACCTACATAGGCAATCGAACCCGCGACCTTCCTCCTTGTAGCACTGTGCCTCAACCAAATATGCTATCGTGCCCCTCATGAAAAAGACAAATCCAAACTGACGTATGTTCCGCAGCTGTCAATATATTCTGGCGTTTTCATTTCCTGCATCCTGTTGTGTTACAATATACAACTTCTTTATTAACCGTCACAACACAACAAATATCAAGGTAGCTGGGCACTGACCTTGATATTTGTTGTGTTGTGACGGTTAATAAAGAAGTTGTATATTCCGGTGTGTTGGGCCTCTGCTAGAATGTCTAAGGTTACCTCGTAAATAAACAAAAGGTGAGAAGGAAGCAGGTCAATGCAGCGGCAATATTGCATTTAGAAGACACTCATTTTGAATGCACAACCGACATTTCTACATATTCACCAATTTCCCTACTTCAATTCTTCAAATATTCTACAACTTCCCTTATTGAATCTTTATCTATTCAGAATTCATTATAAATTTCTTACTTAAATCTGTCATTCAGCAAGCTAGCTCAAGAAATAACATTTTTTAACTTATATTCTAAAGATTCACGGTTCGAATTTAGGTCGGAACACCGATTATCCTGAGGTTCTTCATGGTTTTCTTCAGTACCTCTAGATAAATTCCGAAATAATAACATATCTTTTCATGATTCACAGTTAAAGATCATCTAATAATTCGACGCTATTCACAGAGTCCTTAAATTAACTGTAGACTGTACTACGTACAAATTTGACATTATAAACCTATGTCACATCTAAATCCCTAAAACTGAGCTTCAGCATTTNTATTATCTCGCAGAATATCTGGTCTCGGTTTCGAGACCAGCCAAATACCACGAAGGTATAGCAAGTGTCACGTAACTTCGAACAAGGCCAAGAGTAACCTCGAATGCACCGGAGAAAAATTTCAGACAATGGGGTGGGTTCGAGAGTGTGAGAAGTGATAGGCCGCCTATCACTTCTCACACTCTCGAACCCACCCCCTTGTCTGAAATTTTTCTCCGGTGCATTCGAGGTTACTCTTGGCCTTGTTCGAAGTTACGTGACACTTGCTATACCTTCGTGGTATTTGGCTGGTCTCGAAACCGAGACCAGATATTCTGCGAGATAATATTTCTTCTCACAGTTCCTTCTGATAACGTCGCGTTAGTACTGTAAACTGTTCTCCCTCCCGACGCTATATATACCGTGTCTCTCCACTTTTAAAGTTGTACCTGTGCCTAACTAATTAAGCACTACGCCATGAAGGTGTATGTGGGAGTGGACGTATAGATCCATATTTTCTTGACCTCGGCACTAGCTGGAGGTGAGTGGTCAGCTTCACGCCCTGACCGCTTTACCCCCGAGGAAAGAGCCCCCGGTACCCATTGGATAAGAGGTTGGGTGGACCCCAAAGCCGGTCTGGACCGTCTGGACGACTCTCTTTAGTCCAGCCCGTAGCTAGTCGCTGTACCGACTACGCTGTCACGAACTTTTCCACGTGATAGCACATCAAAATATAATCCATCATACCACGACACACCGAACTACTATCAGGCTGAGCATATTGTCCTTAATCAAATGTCATTAGCCCCTTCGTTATGGGTCTCCTACCGTGAACATGTCCGTGTATCCGTGTGTCCGCATGTAATGATTCGAGAGATGCTTAACAGGTTTTTATTAAATGTGACTTTGAGAAATTTCAATAAATTTTGCTGACATATTCCAATTTTCGTTATGAAGGGAAGAAAGTAAAGGACGCTTTGCACGAAGACGTACGAAAGTTCCTGCTTACATCTCGAGCATGACTCACCAATTATTTAAGAAAAAATAATCTTCATAAAGCTGAGCCCTTCTTGAAAAACCGCCATTTGTAGAGTTACTCAAGAAATTCCCAGCATTCCATGGAACCAGAAGGTTCGTTACCGTGTTCACAAGAGCCCTCCACTGGTGTCTATCCTGAGCCAGATCGAGACAGTCCATTCCACCCCATTCTATCTTAAAATCCATTTTAATATTGTCCACTCACCTACTTCTTGGTCTTCCTAGTGGTCTCTTTCGTTCTGACTTTCCCACCAATATCCTATATACATTCCTCTTCTCCCCCATTCGTACTACATTCCCTGCCCATCAATCCTGCTCGACTTGATCATATAATTATACTTGGAGAAGAGTACAATTTATGAAGCTCCTCATTATGCAGTTTTCTCCAACCTCCTGTCACTTCATCTCTCTTCGGTCCAGATAATTTCCTCAACACCCTGTTCTCAGACACCCCCAGTCTATGTTCCTCTCTTAATGCCAGAGAGCAAGTTTCACACCCATACAAAACTAAAGGCAAAACTATAGTTTTGTACATTTTATTTTTGTGTTTTTAGACAGCAGACGAGAAGGCAAAAGTTTCTGAACTGAATGGCAGCAAGCATTACCCGAATTCAGTCTCCTCTTATTTCCTCCCGAATCAAGTTTTCATTCAGCAAATATTTACTGAAGAGAAAAATGTTTCGGGCAATTGTTGCAGAGAGAACTGAAACACAAGTTACATGCTCAGTATACTTTTCCTCGAGTCTGACGGTTTTCGAGAAATTTAAAAGTGAGTGACCGCTATCCGTTAATTTCATACATTGTTTCGAATAAGCTTATGCATTACAATATAAATACATACAACGTTTTAAGAGATTAAGAATATTTATATATGAAAAATAAATATCAAGAGTGGCATTAAATATATAAGCATGAAAAATAGCTGTCCTGAAAATGACCGATATGTACTATGACTGGCAAAAACAAATATAATAAATATATCAAGACACAGCAAGTAAACAAAAACAGTTACAAAATTCGATTGAATCTATCGCGACACGTATGTTGCAAAAACTTAGAAATAACTAGCCTACGAACCGTTAGGAGGGTCAGTCTCTCTCTTCCAGCAAGCAATTAACCTCATCTACAACTCCCCGATGACTGAGTACACAGCCAACAAGTGCGCTACTCAGCAAGCAGTTGTTTATACAAATTTCTATGCGCACGCATTTCGTGCCAACATACCGGCCCTAATTGTCCCTGCTATGCCTCGGAGACTATATCTCAGCATTATTTGTCACGTTGGCGACAGGAGAATCTCACAGCGGTCACTATGAAGAGTAGTATGATGTGTGTAGTGCGGTAGAGTTTACCGGCGTTTCGGAGGAACACACTGCCTCCGTCTTCAGGAGTAGTAGCAGTAGTGGTAGACTGTTTGCTTGGCTTACTCTTCGAGCTTGAAAATGGAGGCACTATACTCCACCGTAACGCCGGTAGACTTTCGCCAGACTATGTGATGTCACAAGTCCAGGGTACAGCTCTGTTTAAGCTATACTTGACTTCCTGAAACCTGCACAAAGAGGACTGATTGAGAGTGGTTATGTAACGACGCTGTCTCAGCTCCACAAGTTGTGGAGCGACAGTAGAATACGAATAATGAATGAGAAACTATGTAGCTAAGATACCACTTCGAAGACCTCGATGTAGATGGAACAATCACAAGGCTGGAAACAGTATGCATAATTCCTAAAGTTGTTCTTTGCAGTGTAGGTTCAATTTATGGCATTATGTGAGCTTGTCTCTTCGCCAAGTATGACTGAATGTATGACTGAGCCAAGCTGGATGAGGCTGTCAGGACATGCAGCACAAAGAAGCGAAGGAGAATGCATATAGGATATTGGTGGGAAAGCCAGAAGAAAAGGGACCAGTAGGAAGACCAAAACGTATGTGGGTGGATAATATTAAAATGGTTCTTAGAGAAACAATGGGGTGGTATAGACTGGACTGATCTGGCTTCGGATAGGGACCAGTGAAGGGCTCTTGCGAACACGATAATGAATATTCGGGTGCCATAAGACACTGGTAAGTTCTTTAATAGCTGCGCAACTGGCGGTTTCTCAAGAAGGGCTCAATTTCATGAAGTTAATTATTTAGTTGCGTGACCTTTGTAGCATCGGTATGTCTATATATAGCTAAATAACAAAACGATTTACTAAAACTATACTAAGTTGTAATGTTGAATTTCACAAAAATTTGGTTTGCCTTTATGATGCACGGTTACTACATAAAGAAGTCTATTTATAGCGTCAAGTAAAGTGAACTTAGACCGTGCCATAGCTCAAGTGGTTAGTCGCTGGCTTTCCACCGCGGCGGCTTGGGTTCGATCCCGGATCTGGTCAAGTGGGATTTGTGGTGGACAAAGTGAAGCTGGGGAAGGTTTTCTCCGAGTACTTCGTTTCCCCTGCCAATCTTCATTCAACCAATTGCTCCACAATCATCCTCACCTTTCATCTGGGGCTGGTACAATAGGCCAGAAGTGGCCGCAGTACAAGGGACTTAGTCCCAACCCACTAGCTATAAAAAAAGTGAACTTAATTCTGAGTCGGAATTGCCAGACGACTTTTAGTGAAAGTCTACCATATCGAATTAAAAATTAATTCTATCCATCAGTTCAGGCGCTAATATCTGATCACAGGCAGATGAAAACGTTACATAAGACTTTATTGTTTTACTGTGCAAACAACATCTTATATTAAAACAGATCTCAAATATGAAGGTGTGTAATGGATTCGTCTAGCTCAGGGCAGGGAGCAGTGAAGGACTGTTGTGAAAACGGTGATGAACATCTCGGTCCCATAGAAGACAGATAACATCTTGGCCTGCTGAGCGGGTGCTAATTTCTCAAGTACGATTGGTAATCCTTCGACTTATTTCAAATATGAGTTTCACTTATGTAACATACGGTAGCATAAGGTTCGTACTAAGTTTCGTGAAAATCCATCACTCTGTTCAAAAGTTATTAACGTGGACGAAAACACAGATACAAGGTACTCTCAGTCATGCAACATGGTGCCTTAAACTAATCATTTCTTATGAATAAGAAGGATCTGTCTTAACTTTTCAAAGCGAAGTTCTTAGTATATGTATCACCTGCTTTTAACATTAAGAACATCATTTTACCCAAGGGATGTAGTGTTAATGCGTTTCGTACGATTCTCGAAAAAGAAACGATTATATCCCTAAACTGCGTAACAAATTTCTCTTTATATTGGAGACGCAGCGTGTTTCCTGTGAGGTACGAACTGAATTTATAAATATTATATAGAAGAAATTCGAGAGGTTAGAAGTCTTTTGAAAAAGAAAGCAGTGAGACAGTCATCGGATGCCTTGCTATCAGAGATTTCACCATATGGGCGGCTGCGGTAGGAGAAGTACATCTGTTTATACCCCGATGCATGACGTGGAGGCTTGTCAACATGAGAGTGTCCCCGTGGACTCTCTTGGGTGGGAGGGGGAAGAGGACTCAGTGCTCTAACACGACCCTGCATACTTCAAGGCAACAGTGGCGTAACTCGATATCTAAAGTGAAAGCTCATACTTTTCACTAAGGAAAACTTTCCGTCGGTCTGCTAAAATTATTCTTCATATTCAGTTCTCTTTCGTAAAAACGGATTTCTTTTTTAGCCGTAGTTTTTAAAGTTCTTTGGCTTAATATTCTGTCTGTCTTACCATCTTTATGATTGCAAACTCGTATAAGGGATAATATCAAAATCTATCTGCGAGAACAAGGTATGAAAGAATCTGGCTGCATTCAGCTGGCTTGCAATAGGAACCAGTGGTATGCTCTTATGAATATGGTAATATGTCTACAGGGTTCCCCAAAAGGCTAGGAATTCCTTTGGTACCTGAGCAAAATCGGTTCCAATCTAACTTAATGGAACTAGGCCTAATTATATTCATAAAGTTTGTGCCTGTGCTTTCCTAATTAAGCACAATGTCATGAAGTCGAATGGGGGAGTGGATGTATAGCTCCATTAATTTTTGGAAGCGAGTGGTCAGATTCACTCTTCGACCCATACCCATTCGATACGAGGGTGGGTGGGCCCCAGAACAGGTCTGCACGACGTGGAGAGGAGAAGAAACTAGCCCTTACAGGGACTCGAACTCGAGCCCCTCGGACGAGCAGCCCGTAGCCAGTCGCTATACCATCTTTATAAAATGGTGAAAGCCTCTTATTTCCTCACTCTAACTAGGCGACAGCGGAGTCAGACATGAAGGGCCCACTTCGTCCAGCACATGAAGCGAGCCTGTATGGAACCCAAGGCTCCAAGAAGAGAAGTCAAGGTCTACCCGCCTGTCATATGTATAGTTTAAAAATAATTACATTATTGAAGAAGGTAACTAAATATGTAACATTATATGAACATAGATCGTACATACATTCAGTACAGGCACATAGCTTTATTTTTGCGATAGCGTAGTTGGCTTCGGCACTATGCTACAATCCGAAAGGTCGCGGGTTCAATCCCCGATGAAGTCATTGGATATTTTAAATTCATCTAATCCTTCCAGCCGTACAATGGCCTTGGGGTCGACTCAGACTGAATTTCTTAACAGAAATGAGTACCAGGAATCATCCTGGGGGTAAAGGGCGGCCGGCGCGTAAGGCTGACCTCACCGCCATCTGTGAACCGACTGTGTAGCCTCGATGTCTCAGGAACGGATGGGCCTCCACGGCCCGTTACAAAGATGACTTACTTTTCTTTTTTGCATAATTTGGTGTGCGGGACATTGCAAACACGGCAATGATCCTTCAGGATAAATAAGGGGCGAAGAGACTCCTGGCTATGTGAAGGACTACTGACTTCTCAAGAAAGACACTGCTCCATGCTGTTAATGGGTTCTATGATCTGGTGTACCGTGAGATGAAAGCATGTAAATTTATCCTTCCGCTTAATTAATTAGACACCACGCCACTAAGACTTGCGGGGGAGTGGAGGTATAACTCCACCATTGTTAACCTCAGCACTAGATGGAGGTGAGTGGTCAGCTTCAGGCTCAGGCCGAAGAGCCCCCCTGGGTTGGGTACTAGCGCCAGTCTGGACGCTGTGTTGCAAACACTACGTTCTCTGCTGGCACTTCATTTTTCGTGCCGCGATCACATAGCCCGCTTTTCCTGCGAGACCTATATTACAGTTTGGCCACCACATGTCACTTCGCATCCTCCCAGTTGTTATATATGCTAAGAGAATAGCTGCACACATAACACACGAGCGACTCCCTTGCGGCCACTTCCACCAGAGGACGCAGAAGAGGCGAACTCCTGCAACATTAGGCCTCATGACTCAGTTTCTTTAATGTGAATTCAACTAGACTGTCCAGAAATGTTCTTTGTGACCTCCGACTGCGTTGTCTACATTTTTTGGATATTGTCCCACTGTCTGATAAATATATACTTTCATTTGGCAAGCAATATCCAGTCATTCCAAGCCATTAACCGGCTAGAGTCTACCACTGTGTTCTGTAAGAAACAGGCCATAATTCACATATTGCCATTGCCATTAGAGCCCTTTTTTGAGCTACAGCCTTCCTCAGGGGATTGTACCAGAATGCATCCGGTTTTCACTTTTGGATTTCGCAGCAATTATTATTTCAGACCAAGTTATTCAGCCTTGCGCCCAACCCCCAACCTGGAAGACCAAGTACCTATATTTATATCCCCTAGCGACAGGGTGGTTCAGTTATAACCCCCCCCCCTTTTCATCGCCTTCTACGACTCGCAGAGCTGTGGTGGAGTATTTCACCGCCTCCACACAACTCATAGTTACATATAACCACTTAATATTGCGACGAATATGACCATTGCTAGAGAACGGCTTCGTTGCTGGGTAGCAAGTCACTAGGCACATTTCGTAGCAACGGACAAACATAGATAATAAGAGACGAACTGTTCAAGGTGGTGGTTGGTCTTCGGTTCGCCCCGAGCAATAAAAGAGAGTTCATTCTGAATTTATTAGGATTCATTCGAAAGAGATTTCGGTGATCAGATGTGGGGTGTTAACCAGTGGACAACGGCAGCTGAAGAAGTGACTGACTCGTAATCAGAACCAAGTCAGTCGCGGTAGAAGGGAAGACACTCACAGTCCAGTGAGGAATGGAGCGAG